CCCCCTCACCCGCGGTGCGCTCTCTCCGGTGCAGGGTGGAGAAGTACCGGCCGCAAGCGCTGTCGGAGCTGGTGTCTCACCGGGATATCCTCAGCACCGGTAAGTAACACCCCCACCACACCGCCCGGGGTGGGGGGGGGAGGGGGGTACCGGGCACCCCCCCAACCCCGTTATCCCTTCTCCAGTGCAGCGGTTCATCAGCGAGGATCGGCTCCCGCATCTTCTCCTCTACGGTCCTCCCGGTACCGGTAAGACCTCCACCATCCTCGCTTGCGCCAAGCAGCTCTACCGGGAGCGGGAGTTTGGTTCCATGGTGCTGGAGGTAAGTGGGGATGGGATGGGGGGGTCCCCCCCACCCCTGGGTGCATCCTCAGGCAGGGATGCAGATCCACGCTGTCTCCCACGCCGTCTCCCTCCAGCTCAACGCCTCCGATGACCGGGGTATCGACATCGTCCGAGGCCCCATCCTGAGCTTCGCCAGCACCAGGACCATCTTTAAGTAAGTGGCGGGTCTGCACTTCCCAAAGCTCCCCATCCCTTTGTCATCCCCCCCTCCGAAGATGGGAAGGAGTCAGGGGCGCCCTGCCAGCGGGGAGGATGAGGGTGGTAAGGACGGGTGATAAAGATGCTGGTCCGGAGGGGAAAGGAGGGCTCCCTGGGAGCGTTCGCAGGGGTCACGCTGGGAATAAGCGTCCCCTGCTCCCCCTTCTCCAGCACCAAGCCAGCAGCCGGGAGCAAAGCCACCCCCTTTTTTCTCCCTTTTTAAGGAAAGGCTTCAAGCTCGTCATCCTGGATGAAGCTGACGCCATGACCCAGGATGCTCAGAACGCCCTGAGGCGAGGTGAGGGGTGCTGGGGAGCCCTCATCGCCGGCACCCCTTCAGCCTTTCCCAGCCCAGCGCACGGTGGGAGCCTGCACAAGGTGGCAAACGAGGACCAGCCCCTCCTCTCTCCTCTTTGCAGTGATCGAGAAGTTCACGGAAAACACCCGCTTTTGCCTCATCTGCAACTACCTCTCCAAGATCATCCCCGCCTTGCAGTCCCGCTGCACACGCTTCCGCTTCGGCCCCCTCACACCGGAGCTGATGGTGCCCCGGCTGCGGCACGTCATACAGGAGGAGGGGTGAGCCGGGGGGGGGCGGCACCGGCCGCGGGGGGGCTCTGCAGCATCCTCCGCGCCCCCTTCTTCCCCGTTCCCCTCCATGGGGAGGAGCAGCGGGCTGCGTTTTCCGCGGTTATATTTCCCTCCAGCAGCGCTGGCTCCCTCTGCAGCCCCAGGTCTTGTTTTCCAGGGTGGATGTGACTGAGGATGGGATGAAGGCTCTGGTTACCCTCTCGAACGGTGACATGCGCAGGGCCCTCAATATCTTGCAGGTACGGACCGTGGCCGCGGCCGCTCTCCCCTCGTGTAAGCCGGCAGCGGTCGGCCCCACGCAGGCAGCTGCCCTGGAGGGGTCAGTGGAGGAAAGGCCGAGCTCTTCATCCCTCCTCCACCCTCCTTATCCTCAGAGCACCACCATGGCCTTTGGGAAGGTGACGGAGGAGAACGTCTACACCTGCACGGGACACCCCCTCAAGTCTGACATTGCCAACATCCTTGACTGGATGCTGAACCAGGACTTTTCCACCGCCTATCGCAGTATCCTTTTTCCTCCGCCGGCCCTGGGATTTAACCCCCACTGCTGTAAATCCTCCTCTTTGCCAGGGCTTCCCATCCTGTGACCTCTTGCTCCGGCTGGGGTGGGTGCTGCTCGCTGGGGAGGGTCCTCGCGGTTGTCGCGGGGATGAGGAGTGGGATCCCGCAGGGAAAGGCCTGGAAGAAAGCCCTTCACTCGCTCTCATCTCAGAAATCACGGAGCTGAAGACGCTGAAGGGCTTGGCCCTGCAGGACATCCTCACCGAGATCCACCTGTTTGTGCACAGAGGTAGGGGCTTGCGGGGCCGGCTCCTGGCTGACCCTGGGAGGGCCAACCGTCCCCCCCCAGCCCGCACTGACCCACACCGTCTCCTTCTCTCCACAGTTGATTTCCCGCCCTCGGTCCGCATTCAGCTACTGATCAAAATGGCAGACATCGAGTAAGTGTCTGCTCACCCCCGCTCCTTGCCCCGAAACACCCTGGCTGGAGGCGGGGGGGGGGGCGCCACCGCCCCCACCCGGTGGTGTAAACACCCAAACCTGCCCTTGCCCCCTGCTCCAGGTACCGGCTGGCTGCTGGGACCAGTGAAAAGATTCAGCTGAGCTCCCTCATCGCGGCTTTCCAAGTCACCAGGGACCTGATTGTGGCCGAAGCCTGAGTCCTGCCGGGGGGATC